CACCAATTGATAGCACAATCGCTTGTAAATATGTGTTTGTAAATAGATTTGATCATGATTGATGTATATATAAAACACCATGCAGATCAACAGTTATAACATTGTATTTATAAAACATGAAGATCCATGAAGCTCCGAAATAGATCTACAATTTTTGAAATTATATAAATGTTATGAAAATCAAAATAAAGTTCTGAACAGTTGTTGGGGATTTTTATGGTATGGGTGGTTGGGAATTTTATAGAGAGAGAGATGTATGCTATATATAGGGAAAATTGCAGGTGAGGTACCAAACTTTTCGTTTATTAGCAGATTTTGCCCAAACATTTAGTTTGTGCCACCGGAGTTACCAAACCTTCAAAAAATTCACATTCGGAGTCCAAATTGACAAAAGCCGTTAGTTTGACCATCAAAACCGTTAGTTGACCCCAAAATTGACATTGACCAAAATTTTTGAATATTGAAACCTAAGCCAAATCACTTTGAAGTGTTTGATTCGGTTCAAAATCAAAACGTTTTAAGATTTTATGTGGACCAAACTAAAGATTTAAGGAAAAAAAAAGCAATTTTGATTCGATTTTGTGATTTGACGATTTTATTGTTTAGCTCTACTATGTAAGTTGTATTTGTTTGCAAACCTTGAATCTTTAAAGGATGTGATGGGAGAAATCTAGAGATTAGTAATCAAAGACAACTTCTCCATAGTCAATCATGACACATCTTCAAAGATTAGAGAAATTGATTTTCCAATTGTAAACCCTATTTCCCATTCTAATAAAATCTTTTGTGTCATGTGGATATTTCGACAAGATCGCAACTTTTGGGATTTAAAAAAATAATAATAATAATAATAATAATCTTTCCTGTTCCATTCTATTAAACTTTCACAAGATCGAAACTTTCGACAAAGATTGGGGACTAACTATGAAATTTACCCATTTTAAAATATGCTAAATAATGTACGTGCGTTTTTTGTTCAGTGCGCATTCTGAGGCTTAAATTTCTTCACCGGTATAATCCACTCGTCGACTCTTCCCATCGATCTACAGGTAATTACCAGATTGTCTCCGTTTTATTTGCTTAGGTTTTACCTCCAATTTATTGCCTTTTGTTCTATACTGTAATCAAAATGGGTTAAATAGGAACCGAAATTGGGTGAGATTCGATCATTCTGAAATTCCTGCTTTTTTGTTATATGTAGATATTTATTGGCAATTGTTCAAGATTCTGCAATAAAATTATAATGGATAAGTGTAAATTATGTGGCTGTTTTATGCATCAATAAATATAATATTAGAGAAACTGAAAGTGCTTAAAGAGTCTGTGCTGTAAATTTGTGTCTTGGCGATGATATACAACAATGGTGGATATTGTTGGAGAATTAGCACCCTATTTGTTTTTCACTCAGTAAAATTGTATTCTGGTCGAACTTGGTTAATTACTCAACGTGATTTCAATCTTACAAAAAATTAGGTTGCAGTTCAAACTACATTTCTATTTTTTGCCCCAGCTATATACCAGTGTTCATTAAGAGTGTCATGACAGTGTCAAGTTTTGTAATATAATAACAGAATTCAGATGTTGAACTCGCTGGGATTTATATTTAGTTTCTACCAAATACTATATTTATGTAGCTCTTATTTTAATGAATTAAATTTGGAATCAATGGTTTAACTAAGTTAACATGATGAATATGGTGACGAATTCAACAAATAAATGCAATTTATCAAGATAAGATAGCCCAGGGTTATGATTTTACCTGATTTTCAATTATATAATTATTTCTAATCAATTTTCCCAAGTTTATAAACAAGAACCCTAATTTAATTCTAATCCCTCTCTCGGGTGCATAGTAAAAATTATTCTCATATTTCAATTGCAATATCTCTATTTCGAATTAAAATCTAGAAATTATCAAGTTTGTGGTTCTTATGTAGGACGTGCTTCAAAGATTCTATACTTTCTTTCGAAACCTAAAAAATTTAGGTTGTGTTATTCTATGATAGTTCTCTCAATTGGTATTTATCTCATCTTGAACTCCGAAGAGAAGTTGGAATCGGATTAACGTTAAAAAGAGTCAAAAAAATTCAAAACTCTTCCTCTCGCCCAGCGGCTCCACATGCATGGCGCTGCGCTGTGTTGCTGTGGCGTTGGGGCAGCACTAAAGTGGCATCATGACGTCTACTTTTAGAAAGAAAATCAGCACCGAACATCTGTCGGTATTTTTATCATAACTTTTTCTTTCGATATTCGAATTAGGCAATTCAAATTGCTTTGAAAGATAACTGAAAGGGCTACAACTTTACTTTAGATAGCTTTTTCCAATTTGAACAATTATTATGTAAAAAATGAGTCTCAATCTCCGATTAAAAATCCGGAACATACTTGTGCGGTAGAAAATTGATTTGTGAAAATATTTTGATCATATTTCACTCATTCATTGGCTTCTAATCGCATTCGATTGACTCCTAGATATAGTCAATTATTGTTTTATGATCCGAATCAAATATTGAAAAGTTGCAATTGAGTCCTCAAACATTGAATTTCACCATTTTTTATAGTTATTCACCCTTTTTTTTTTCTTTTTTTTTTTTTAATTTAGCTTCCAACCATCGAGTTTCAACTAATTAACATCAACTTCTCCTTGATTCATGCCAACATCACTCTCTTTTCCAAGTTTTACATAATTCAAACCAATGCACCTAACCTATAAAACAACACGAAAACACAATTCAAGACATTCCAAAACTCGTAGAAATAAATTAAACATCAAGATTAAATGACTTCAAAAGAATGAGTGCAATACACTCATCAAAGAGCTCTACTTGACATGTATGCATGAACAATGAAACTTACATGTGTCGTGAAGCGCTACACCACTTTTGACACCTAATTAAGCATGAAATACAAATTAAGCTAGGTTTCCATTGGAAAAACAGTATGTATTTGGTGAAAATTTGAATAGAGGAGCAAATGGATTTATTGAATTTTTATCAATCTTGACTTGATTGCTTGCAAGCTCCGAGTCAAGTGCAAGCTTGGCTTTCTTATTAATGAGCCAGCCTTAGACTAGCTTTATTTTAACACAATCATGAGTCGTCAAGGTAAAAAGGATTGTCACGAGTCAGTTATAAACTGTTTGATCATGCGTGATATGATGTTTTGAACAAGGATCTATATATTGTTAAATTTGGAGACAAATCCAATGCATAACAAGGCACAGTTGAGAAGATTGAGGCAAACTCTACGTAGCTTTTTTTCTTTTGATGATTAAAGGTTAGATTTAAACATCCCTAACAAAAATACTCAAAATCGCTTGTGAAATGGTTAACTTTGGTGGGATCTAAATCTGAATAAATGGTGTAACTTAAAATTTCAAGGTTAAAGGAACTAACACGTGACGGCAAATCTTTTTCTTTTTCTTTTTAGTTCACACACGATCATTCTATTTCATCAAACTCTGTTTATGAAAGGTTTCAGAATTTGAATGTTACTCTGGTTATAATTACAAGCTAACTGTTAAAGGTGACTGAATTTTAATATTCTGCAGTCAGGTGTGGCGAAATACCATACTGATTTCAAGTATTGATTTGTTTGGGAGAGGCAATCATTATATTAATAGCCTTGGTGGAATGAGAAGAAAATTCAAATGTTAGGCTTTCCCATCACGCTGGAGGGGTATGCCTCCTCTTTTCCTCTTCCAGCCTTCTTATTAGAACGCATTGGCTTTGGGGCTAACGGTGTTCAGTCCTATTCTTTATCATGCCCAAAACTAATAAGAAATCCTATTTTAAAATCTTCAAGTTACAACCTCTTCAATTTGAGGTCCTATGTTGGCCGTAATTCAGGAAGCAGTCCAGATACTGACAATAATGACAATGAAGATGACCAGGATGCTTATGAAGTCTCTGTTGAGCCTGAAAGTTGGGATGACAGCATTGAGATAAAGATAGAAAAGACAGGCAATAATAGCCGGAAAATACAATCAAAGGTAAACGTGGAGGCCAGCCTGGAAACTGTCTGGGACATCTTGACAGATTACGAGAGATTGGCTGACTTTATTCCTGGCCTTGCTGTCAGCCGCTTGCTTGAGAAGAGCGATAATTTTGCCCGTCTCTTTCAGGTCTTGTGCTAATTTATATCTCTTCACACCATTATTCATTCTTAAACAAATTAGGGGCATTCTGTCGATTTGATTCTACCAATTTGTAAGTACATTTTCTTTTTGCAAATGTCTCACACAAATACTCCATCACCCTCATTTTGCATCGCTCAGGTCATTACATCAGTATTTGGTGTCACAGTTGTTATTGCTTATGCATCTATAAGTTGTTTATGCACTAAATAATTTCCTTGGAGATGAAAGTCAAAAAATATGCTATTTTAATTATTATAGATATTGTTTTCCAAATACACAAAATAGCCTGCTTCTATCAGCAATCTTGTCCACTCCCTGTTTTCTTAACTTCTATCCTTATCATGCACGAACAGATTGGGCAGCAGAATTTGGCATTTGGACTCAAATTCAATGCCAAAGGTGTTATTGATTGTTATGAGAAAGACCTTCAGACTCTTCCCAATGGCCAGAAGCGTGATATTGAGTTCAAGATGATCGAGGGCGATTTTCAACTGTTTGAAGGAAAATGGTCTGTTGAACAGGTATGTTTCTTCCTTTTTCAACTTTTACATGTGACTTCTAGATTTGCATTTCTCTTATGAGGACTCTGTGGTTACAGTTATTGTCATATAATATGTAAAATGCAACTATGAAAAATCACTGGGTGAGGACAATAAATTTGGGGGATGATGAAAATATTTGAAGATTTTACTGGACCCTTAAACTATAATTTAATCTTTCAGATGGCAGGAGGACTTTCCTTCTCTCTTAAGAATTTTCAGCTTCCAATTTCTTGTGAGTTGGGCAGAGCTACCTTAATTTCATGGACTGAAGATTCAAGACTTCATCTCCCAATTGATCAAAATTTTAGTTTCAAGGAAATTTAAGGGGGGCTTTTAGACTTTAATTAACTGAATTTGGAACAGAAATTTTCTTCCATCGAGACTATCTAACCAAAAGTTATAATGCAACGGAGTGCTGCTAATGCATTATGATCAGATGTCAAAGAGTACTTCCACACATGTACTGTTATGTGGAGAAGTAGGCTACCAGCGGAAAAGTAAAACGAAGAACATGCACGAAAAGAAGTTGCTGATCCTAGGATTTTAGACAGGAGGGAAAGTGACATATGATGCTGTTAGTGGATCATTTGATACCAAATAGACGAACTTTTTTTGTCTATTCTTTTTAATCTGTATACCTAAATTACAATATGCTTGTTAAATAGAGTTCGTTTTGGGAGTTGTACATCAATTGGAATCTGGAGTTATTTTTGCTAGTTGTAAGACTAAGAGGTCTTCAGTTCAAGTCTCTAGTTATGGAAAGAAGTTCACACAATTTTATTATTTACGTTAAATCATAAGTGCAGTTCAAAAATATGAGCATGTGCAAAAAAATTAAATAATTTAGATAGTTTAGTGCTCTCCAAGTTCAGTATTCTGTTTTGGTTGCTCCAAGTAACTCTTATGATTTGTAGCAGTCTAAAAACTTTTTCGTTTTTCAGGGGGTGGAATGCAATATGGAAAGTGAGCAAAGTGGTTCTATCGTTGGCCAGGATTTGCAAACAACGCTTTTGTATGCCGTTGATGTGGAACCCAAATTGTGGTTGCCTGTAGGCCTAGTCGAAGGCAGACTTTGCAGGGAGATAAGAACAAATCTATTGTGCATACGAGTGGAAGCTGAGAAAGTATTTCATAATGCACTTTCTGCTCACTAGTGGCTTACTAGTTGGCTTTGCTGATTATCCCGTAAGTATGGAAAAACACTAACACAGAAGTCGAGATAAAAGTAATTAAAGAGAATAAAAGAAGGATAGATCTAATTTCTATTTTACAATGTTGAAATGAGACTTTTTTATGTCTTAAGAATCATAAGATTATATTGTTAATGTTCATAAGGTACAGCTTGTTTCATTCTAGTGCTGGTTGTCATTCAACAAGAAAAGAGAAGTGATGTTCATATTCATCCTATTTCAGAAATCAGTTGCCATGAGCTTGCCTCAAGACATCAAATTGTTCATCAATGACTCAGGCGTAAGTCTTCTTTTGGATTCTTTTAAAACCTTACTGTTGAGAGAACGTTATTTTCTGTTTCTATCAAGATGCGTCCCTTAGAACTTCAGGACAATCTGGCTATGAGATCTTGAAAAGACCTAAATGGAGTCTAAGTGAAGTTGTATACTATACACAATAGCAGGTTTGCCTTAAGAATTTCATTTCTTGCTTGCTGCACGGCAGGCCCTACTCTACGCTCTTAAATTCATTGTTTAGCAAATCATACACTCGTTTTATTCAAGAAGTGAATGGTACCATAGTTACCCTGATTGCTGGAAAATTACCTGTTTAAAAATAAATATTTTGTGTGTTCCCAAATGTAATCAAAATTATTCATTGTTTTACCCTGGCATATTCATTATTCTCGAGGTTGGATGGTGTTGGAATTTTAATCCACTTCCCATGACTTCATTTCCACAAATAACAGCTGTCACTAACTGATTAAGGGCTATTTGGCAAGACATTTGAAAAGTTGGAAGTTACTTTTGATATAAATAATCTACTTTTGAACATGCTTTAATAATCTTCTAAAATCATTTCATTTCACTAGAAGAGTTTCTAATGAAAATTAGCCTATGGCGCTCTTTACAAAAAGTAAAGCCTTGTCAAATGGACCCTAAGCAAAATAAGGCTATTCAAGCTTACCGCAACAATTTAGATGTCAATTAAGTGATTGAATATCTTAAGTAGGACTTATCATTTCATTCAAGAAGTCCAATTATTTAATGTCATTTAATTGACACATAAACGGTTGATTATAAGCAGTCTAGATTCGATTAGAGTACACAATCATAATTACTTTATGGTCTTGAACTTGCTTTTGAGCAATTCAAACCATTTATTAACTTTAAGTTACTTTAAAGTTTAGGGACACATTGAAATGAGCAAACATGAATAGTCATTAAACAAGGATTTATAATTTCTTCACTTAATTCGTATAGAGAATGAAATATTATGAGCGGGCAACAAAACTGATTTCTCATCTAAACCAGATCATTTGAAGTTATACTTAAAGTTATTCATTCGAGTTTACCAAGATCAAGTACATAACATACTGGGATTGAACAGTATGCATTCATCAAAGGTGCGAAAATAGTTAAACAATTGATGTGCATATGAACTAGCAGCTCATTATATACACACACAAACGATAAAGATAAAAAGTCGACGAATTTCTGATCAGATAGTATGAAACGATCCACTTGAAAGTGGCAAAAATAGCTATTTTCATCTCATTCAACATCAAAATTGGATTTCCAGCTCAAGTATTGAATCAAAACGTGGTTACAAGACCTATACCCAACTCTTCTGCAAGTTCATCCCACACTGGAAGGAGTGTCATTACTACAAGGATAATTGCTATTGTAAGAATCGTTTTACGCCAAGTGCCAACTTCCGTTACATCGTTCAAACATGGTTTCTCGGGAGTCCTCTGCATATGGTACACATAATAGTTATAAGATGACACTTATCGGCACAAAATGAAAATCATAACTCCAGTGCCGTTTTTATTTTCTTCATTTCGTGTTGTGCATCTAAAGGTTTGCTTACCTGACATATAAGCACGTACAATCCCCAAGGAAGTGATAAGGGCCCACCTAGCTGACAGTAACAAACAGGAAACCTTCAGGAATAAAATCATTTCTGAAAAAGTAAATCGAAGGTAGGTAAATCTTCAACAGGGAAGTTCAAAACAAAGCATTTGGCAACATGCCCCGCAACAATAGTATCGAACATTTGGAACCCAACCACCTAAAAATAAAGAAAACCTATCCTTCATAAAAAGAAAAGATAGAATGAAAGAAAAAGGCAACCACCAGAAATGATAAAGGAAGGAATAAAGAGTAATGGAAGCTTTAGTAGTGGAAGAGATATCTTTCAATATATTCTGTTCTTATCTACCACAACTGTAAAACCATATATTTAATATCCAAGATATACTAAAACGAAAAATGAACTTCATAAAAGATGGACTTGAAGACAAATCATACCACTCCTAATCCCAGCAATGTGTAAGTGGCCAAACCAGAAGCAATCAAGGCACTTTTCCCAAATGCTCCCTGTTGAAGAATATAAGAAATAATAGTTTGTAACCACATCATGGTTTGAATGTGCACAACTGGTTCCTTATAAAATTAAAAATGCATGCACATGCAAAGCTAGAAAATGAAACTAAAACATAATTGAAGAGCTATCTGATCAATATGTTTGTAATGGTGTGAAAAAACCTACTAAGACCTTAATGGCAATATTTGAAGTTTTCAAAAATTATCAAAGTTTCACTTTGGCTGGAGGACTTTTTCATTCACAAACAGCTGTTTTCAAGAAGTTCGAAATAGGGTAGCAATTATAAGCAAAAGAAAGAAAAAAACAATGTAGACCATAAATGTGAAAATTGCAACTGGATTGTAACACAGTACAATCATATGATCCAATTTGATCAACAATGGAACTATAGATTCAATGGTGAGTTGTATGAAATTAGGGCCATAAGTAGGACATCAAGATGTTACGATTTCATAAGGATCGAACTTTAGGCCAAATGAGTACAGAATCATATCTACGATTGGAGGCAAACCTGTTTGAGGGCTAAATTATCCTTTCCTGTTTTCAATTTTAAGTGGTTGTTCTGGTCCACTCACATTTATTTAGGAAAAAATGAATATTAGCATCTCAACACCTTTTTGGTACATAAAATATGGAAAAGGATCTCTGTTTCCACATTGCGGAGAATTGAACAGATATTTCTACCAGTTGTAGTTGAACTAGTTTTATATTTAGATTTGCCTATCATTTATTTTCAGTTTAGCGTTTACAAATTTGAGGTTGCCCCCACATCTTTAAGTTTAACGAGTGTTAAAGGTCCAATCTACATTATGCACCTTGAGAAGACATAACAGTAATACTACCTGCATAGCTCTTCCACCATCAAGACATCCGATAGGTAGCATATTAAAAGCTGTCGTCGTTAACCCACACCTAAAAGCAAAGAGCTTATCAGTAAGCATATTAATATTGAAAAGACATAACAAAGCTACTCCCACAATGATGCTTCACCAGCCAGCAATAACAAGGGGATGAATTGAAACTGTTGCGGCGTGCATTGCCCTGTGAATGTACATAACAAAGAATCAAATCACTTCCATTTAAGGATTGAAAAGAAATTAAATATGAGATGATTTCAATGAATAATGACGTCGGTTTAAAAGCAAGACATGACAACCATATGTACTATGTACATATAGACAACAAACTTAAATAACAAATCTTTTCGTTCTAATATGGAATGTGACTTCCAAATTGAAGGAACACAGGGGATGACTAGGATATCTACACTATATGACCAAAATGATATATAAAGTTATTAATCCCGAACAGCTTTGGGTTTTATGGAAACATGTTAGCACAGATAAATTACAAAGGCAAACTAGAGAACACTTACGTATAACCAAGAGCAGCCCGACTAATAAGTCCAAGAAGCAAAGAGCCTTGAAAAAGCAAACTAGGAACCTGAACTAAATCTCCTGCCACTGCTGGATTTGATGAAAGCAGCAGGCCAATGGTGAACATAGATAAAGACAATGAAGCACCCGCAAATGGTCCGGACAAAGAAATATCTACTTTTGTTTTTCGATCAGGCAGAATGGACTTGAACTACAAAAGGAGGCAAAGGGGAAAAAATGTAGAGAACATTGTCAACGATTGATGAATAGTCAAAAACTTAGATGCTATATAAATTGCAGTGCAAAATGTTTTAGAAAACTTATTTAGGCGAAAAGGAAAAGAACATGAATGAATTAGTAGTGGTACTTGGATAGAAAAAAATATATTTAAGGATTTATAATGTTCTAGAAATCAGTACAGAGGGAAACCATGACAAGACCACTAGAATAAAATTAACATTAGTTATGTGGTTCGAGAAGGTACATGTCTTCATAATACAGGAACATAACTTTTCAGCTCTTCATATGGGGTTCAGCATAGAAATCAGATGAATATGTTTATCCTCACATCTGAACATGGACCAAAGAATGCACTCAGTCCCTCTTTGATGGAATTCATTTCAAAACTCAGTTTTCTATATACTCAATTTCAACCATATATTCACACAATAAAATATTATGCAAGTAAGCCCAAAACTTTTCCTTATTTTTTAACCACACATTCTTAAAAAAATTCACTATTCAAAACATTGCTTTTGCCAAATAATGACCATCACAGGGGCTCAAAATTCACGGGATACAATTGTACAGTAGCATCATTCACCTATAAGAATAGCAGAATGTTTCACTAGACAGAGTACCTAAGTGTAATACAAAGCCATTAGTAAAAAGCAGCTAAAAAGGCAATGTTTCTTGCAAAGAAGATAGACGTAAGAGGACTTTGAACTAGTAATGAGAATGCTGATTTCTAAACCACGGAAATAAAACCTATTTTAAGCTAAGGAGTGCAAAAATTGTTTAATCCAACCTGTGTTGATGCTGTGTTATTGTTTGACAAACATACAGATGGTGTATGATGAGTTTTTTCCCTGGCAAGTACATAACCATCTTAAATTCAGTTGCAAGTTTGCAATATGTATCAGGTCAATCGCCTCCTAGTACTAAACAAAAATAACATAAGGTGCAAATTCGAGTCGTACAGCAACTAAACGAAAAAAAAAAAAAGATGAAGACCATCATACATCGCTATATATCAATATATCTGTCGAATAACAGAGAGAGAATTCTGAGACTCTATACTCTAAAACAATGTTAGGGATATGAAATTCCACTCCAATATGCATCTGTATGTTGCAACCTGAGTTGTAGGCTATCATTCCAATTGAGCTGATCCAGAGTACTTGGCAGATAGATAATCAGATAAGACAAAATAAAATGATAACTAATTATGAAGATTTCAAGAATACCAGCTTATATGAGATCCATTACTTCTATAAGCCAGATAAAGACGGGATTATAATGGAAACAAATAACTATTTGGCGGGTCACAAAAAAAAAAAACAAAAAACAAAAAAAACTCTATGCGTAACTTTGCTTCACCTGAGTAATTGCTCCAAAGCTTCCAAGGGTAATGTTTGGAATAAAGAAAGGAATGCTTAATTTCACCTTCCTTGGAAATGCAGCCAGAAAATGTCCAACTTCCTGCAGTAAATTAACTCCATATAGAAATTATATCAAAAGGCAGAATATTAGAGAGCATAAAACATTCTCTCATTTACTCGAAGCAAGCAGTTAATAAATAGATATATGAGCATTCTTAAATTGAAAGTCTTTACGTGCAGAACAAGAGGTTATATCTGATTGCAAGTTTCATACAGCCAAAAAAGAAGCGAACTACAAAAACATCAAGCCTTGGACAATAATTTCTGTTATCTGACATGGTTTTGTCTTAAAAGAAGTTCAATTAGCTAGAACAAAAGAAAATCCACTCACGTGAAATAGCTGAACCCCCAAGACACCATAGGCAAGGGGCAAAGCAGAGTCCACAAATGGTAATAGAAGCTGCATATCTGGTGGTTCAATGGCATTTGGATCTGTGAAGTATTTAACCACCTCTGGAGGAAGTCTATTTATCTGCTTAGTGAAAAATTATAAACTAATTCAGGTAGTTTACAATGGAAATATTCTTAATGACCGATAATTATATAAACCAAGTTCACACATGGCGGCATCAACAGATATATATATATCTTGGGGGTAATAAGAATACCTGAGATGCTATTCCTAGCTCCACAGAGGAACCAATGGTAAGAAGAAACAACAGAAGAGCAATCACATACTGCCAAAGAGTTGTTGGACCTGGTTCTGAGACCTCTTTCCGTAGCATACCAAAGCTGACACGAGGACCACCACGTGGATCTGGTCCTTCAGCATTAGGTTCCTCCACCATGAACAGGTTGTACTTATCTCCCATTATTTCAGCTAGGTGACTTTGAAGTTTGGCAAAAACATCTTCCCTCTTTGCCCTAAGATTGCCAAGGAAAAGAATGCCCTCTCCTAGATCCCCAAACTGCTCTTCTTTGGTTACCCAAAAGGTAGAATAGCCAAAAAGCTTTTCCTTAATAGCCTTTACATCAGCCGGATCAACCTTTTCAGGCCCTAGAAGTTCCATCAATTTAAAAGAGTCTACTTGGAAATTATTATGAGATGATCCAATAGAAGATATAGTAGGATTCTGAGAACACAAAAAAAAGAAAGAAAGAAAGATCAGAGACATCATTTTATCTTCCAATTTCTGGCGCAAGTCACTGCTTTTCAATATAACTATCATTCAGGTCAATTCGGTCCAATAAAACTGAGTTAAATGTTTCAATGGCCACCGAACTTTGCACCATGTCATGGCTTATTCACCGAACTTCCAAAAGCATCCCACCAGTCATTAAACTTTACTCCATCATTGTCCATTATTCACCGGGTGGATGCCGATTGAATTAATGCTGACGTGGAGGATGGAATTATGACATGTCCCATTAACTCCTTCCAAATAATTAGACTCCGGCCTACTCAACACCATGTCATCGCCACGTCAAAAAATTACCCTCTTCCCCTCACTCACCCCCTCCACCTTACAATCTCCACTCTATAGTGACGTAGCCACCATGTCAATTGCAGCGACGCCATTTCGTTTTTCACCATGCTTCTCTGCTCAAAAACCACCATATGGAGTCTCGGGTTCCAAATTACAATCCAATCTTCTAACAATTCAAGGATTTAGGCAGAATCTTTGGCATGTGCCCCCAAATTTATACACCAACTCTTTCAAACATCTTCCTTCAATTCAAGGAGAAAATCCTATACCTCGAAATCATGGGCATGGACTCTGGTCAAGCAGTCTCCCAAAACCCGTCTTGGCACACCACTTCTTTGCATTCCATTATCGAAATTATCACCTTCCTCCCGTCCAAACGCATCCATCAAAAGGATTTAGGCAGAATCTTTGGCATGTGCCCCCAAATTCTAAAATCCGACATTACAATTGACCTTAACCAAGTTTTCAATTTCCTATCCTATGATTTAAAAGCCCGTAAAGAAAAGTCTAGAAAGGTGATAAACAAATGTCCCAGAATGTTAATTTCCAGTGCAAGAGACCAGCATAAACCTACTTTATTCTACCCGGTTTTAAGGTGTCCCAGATTGTTCACTTTCAGCATGAGAACAATTTCAAGCCTAAATTTGAGTGTTCTGACAAGGAAATAACGGTGACTTGGATGAACTGAAGGAATTTCCATAGTATTGTGCATTTAGTTTGGAAAGGAGGATGAAGCCCTGGCCCATGGAGATTGTACAGTGTGGAATTGTGGTTAGTTTGCCATTGACGTTGAAGAGCACTGAAGAGGAGTTCAGAGAATTGATAAGGCAAGGGGGTGCATAAGGGCACTGAGGCATACCCCGATCCATCTCTAGTATGATTGACTAATTTATGACGTGGTGTTGAGTAGGTGGAATTCTTACTAGAGCTAGGCAAATCTCCCGAACCGAACCGATCAAACCGAACCCGACGATTCTTGTCAAATTAAATACCCGAACGGGTATATGAATTGAGAACCGACGGGTACGGTTCGGTTCTTGGTCGAATAAGAACCAAATCTTTCTAATTTTTTTTTATATTGAGTAAATCAAATTATTTTAATTTTAATTTTTTCTAAACAAATTAACAAATTAACGATTTCTAAATCCAAATTTTTGGCTCAATAATTTGTTTTATTTCTAAATTTTTAATTTTTGGCCCAATTACCCATTTTATTGTTTCATTTCTTAGCCAAACAATATCAAATCCACTAAACAACCCTAAACACCTACAATAAAGTACATAACGTTGTCTCGACTCTCGCACTCACTTTCGCAACCTCGTTAATATTCCAAAACCTATACAATCGTCGGTCGACACCGTCACCTCCAATCGAAACTGTGACCTCCGCCAACCGAAACTTTGATCGTAACGATCATTTGAACAGGTAGTTTACTAGTTTCTGACATTCCAAAACCATTGAATGTATCATTAGTTGTATTTATATAATGTTGTTATAAATATTAAAAAATTTAATTATAGTACCGAACCGAACCCGAACGGTTCTATAATTATATTTAGACCCGACGGTTCCATTTACTAGATACCCGAAAAGTTTGGTTCGATTCGGTTCTCTTTAGAACCGAACCGAACCGACCCGCGCCCACCCCTAATTCTTACCATTTGGAAGAAGTTAGCTAAACAAGTCACATCAACATTAATTCAAACGACATCCACCCGATGTGTAATGAATGATGACGGAGTAAAGTTCAATGGTTAATAACACACTTTTGAAATTCGTCGTGACATGGTGCAAAGTTCAATGGCCATTGAAACATTTAACTCAATAAAACTCAGTGACTGTTAGCCTTAGAAGTTCCATCAATTTAGAAGAGTCTACATGGAAATTGTAAGATGATCCGATAGAAAATATAATCAGTGTATGAGAAAACAAAGATATTAATTGATCAAAGCCATCATTTTATCTTCAAATTTCAGGCGAAGTAAATGTAAGTAATCGTTTTCAAATTTAAATATCATTCACGTCAATTCTTCCAATAAATCCAGTGATTAGCTCTAGAAGTTCCATCAATTTAAAAGAGTCTACTTGGAAATTATCATAGAATCTCCAATACAACCATGGATTGCTAAAAGAAATTGTCACTTAAGAACAAACTGACGTGGCAAAGGGGAAAAAAATTATCAAGAGCTTCATCTAAACTTAGCAATTTTGTTAGACATGCTGACTAGGCAGAATTTTCATTTCCTACATACACTTAGATGTGATTTTATTATTGTTTTAAGAAAATAAAAGATAGTATTATTGGGTTGTAGGTGGATCCATTGGAGACTAATTTTCTACTTAAGTATCTAGATATCAATATCATGTAGACCGAAAGTCTTTCAACTTGTATGTCACCTAGATAGCAATCCATATAATGTATTGAAGATGCTCTTATAAGATGATCAAATAGAACATATGATATATTCATCGAGCAAAGCCATCATTTTATCTTTAAAATTCTGACAAAGTAAATGCAAGTGATCGTTTTTCATTTTACTATCATTCACGTCAAATTCATCCAGTAACACCAGTGACTATGGCAACAATAACAAATAAAGGGGAAACTCGTCTACAATCCATAGTGTCTCACATATAAATCCTCTTTTCAATTTCTAGTTTTCAGAGCTAACAACTCCTGGATCAAGACTCAACTAATGAAGCACCACGAACACTTCCCACTCAAATACCTCCCTCCCATCATCACCCTTTTTTATTTTCGCTTCTCAGTTTCCAACTCTTTCAGAAAACCAACAAAGCACACAAGGACAATCGCATGTTTGTACATTACCCCTAACAGTTTGAACCTTATAGCAATTAAAAATATCACATTTCTAATCATTCCCAAACCAGCATAATCAAAAGGGAAATAAGAAATTAAAAACAATTCAGGAATGGGAAAAAAAGGGAAAATCTCACCCGGTTCGATATAGAAGTTGGCAAATTCTCAGAATTATCATCGGGCTTCTCATCAGCTGAGCTCATCGTCGCCAAATTTGAATTGTCTCTATTTTCTCCTTCACCATTGGTAGCATTATTTTCATTCCTGGTATTATTCTTATCATTATAACATGACCTTACAATTAAATTTAACCTGGTGCAATTCCCTTTCGAAATCATTCGCCGCCTCTTCGATAGTGATGCTCCACACAAACAAAAATTGGCGTTAATATTTTTTATTTTCACTCTGAAATTAAACCTGCTCGGAGGGTTCAATCTAAAGCTACAGCTGGTGAGTGTTGCCATTTAATTCAAATTATTTGGCTTCTTATGTGTGTATGTATAGCGTAAGTATATCCGCCAGGTTTTCTTTCAGATTTGAAGGTTTAGGTTTTCAATGTCAAGTTTAGAGAAGCGAGTGGGAAGACAGATTTTTAGAGGTTCTGTGGGCACACGAACATATCGTCTTGTAGCATTTCAAAAATATCTCTAATATTCCATTTCTTTTTTTTTTAATTACATAGATTTTTTTTTTGAAAAACGTGAATTAAAAAAAAAATAATCATGTTGGGTATAGATTATCAGAACTTGTTTGATTTAAAAAAAAAAAAAAAAAAAGGAGAGAAAGTATAGTTAAAATATATTGAAAAGTAAAGAATTCAAGTACAAAATTATTTTATCGTAATAATGTGTAATTGTAAATGAATTTAAAGAAAATTAAATTTTAAAATATCTATATCAAAATAGGGCTCAATGTAGCATTTCACATTTTTTTTACCATCTAGCTTCCATTCTATATAAAGGTTTAGTAGGCCGAGCACGTGACTCAGTGTAGGGGCGAAGCTTATAAACGAAAATAGCTTCACCTGATCAATACAGAGTATTGGAGAGACATAGCTCATGTTTCCTATACTCCATACCTGTTTCAAAGGAACAGTTTTCGTCTCGTTTACCCGATTAGGCAAGTGATTCCCCTCCCATCCGCAGGTATCAAATTTAAAGAGATTTTTTTTTTCTTCTCTCTTCTTTTCTGTTCTTTTTTTTTCTTCTTCTTTTGCCATCCCTACCCTCAAGTCTCTTCTTGCCACACTTGGCTGCCCACCTCATAAAACCACCTCATAAAATAACATTGATTTAAGATTATTAATACAACTAAGTTGATTAATCTAGCCACCGTTTGGTCCTCATTTTTTCCAAATTTTAATGTTTGGAATAGTGTTGAAAAATGTTTTGTTGAAAACAAATGAATTTTTTTTCGATTTACGTGTAATATTATTTTATGAAAGATTGTGTGGTTGAAAATAAAATAGAAGAAAAAAATGAAAGATAATAAGAGCCACACGAGGGCCTAATTGTTTTTTTCTATCCACTCTCTTCCATTGTTAACTCAAAACTTAAGAGTAGTAGATACAAGTTCGATCACTACAACACCTCCTCAGCCTTGTAGTAGATCAATAATTTAATTTTTCATCATAATCAATTCAAAATTTAAAATATATAATGTATACTCCCTCACAAAATTCTTCTGATAAATTCGAAGTATATATATATAAAACTAAATTACAAGAAAAAAACTTAGAATTTCCAATTTGCTTCAGCATCCTTATTCTATTTACTCACAACAGAATCATCCTACATAAAAAAACAAATGAAGTCAAATCACACCTCGATCAAAAATTATGTATAACGAAAAAAACCCAGAAAACAACACACAATCATTGGGTCATGAGAAGTACGAGTAAAGGCATGGGGATCTAAGATGTCACGAGTGGAATTGGAGGTGGAATTGTCTGTAAACTCCACAACCCATTTGCAGTCTGGTCTTGAGAAATACTGGTGAAATTAGATAGGGTTTGAAATTGCTTGGATATGTTTTGCAAATTGTAATTGATTTGTGAATTATTGCAAATAAATAATACAAACCAAAAGTAGCCTAAAGGCAGCAGATTGGGCCTAATTTTAAAAATAAAAAAAATGGCCCAAAAGAATAGCCCACAATTTAAATGAAAAAAAAAACCCTACTGCCATCCTGTGTGACTGCATTTCAAGATTCTTCCTCTCGACGACTATAAATTTCAATTGCACTTCAAGTTTCTTTACATGTCAGTAGATGCTCTCTATTTTGCTTCTTCCCTTCACAGTCCAGTGCACGCACACTGGAGTTTCTTATTTCAAACTCAAAATCCAATGCGGACAAGTGCTCGAACTGGCATCTATGTTGCTCCACCCCTAACTCGGTGCAAGTTATTTGAAAGGATACTTTACATTCTTGAACATGTATCGACACGATCTGAGCGGAGGAATGTGTAATCTATTAACACATCAAAATTGACACAAATTGAAATAAAAAAATTTAGAAAGCCTTATGAATAATTGGAAAGAAAAATAGGTAAAATAATTCATTGGGAGAAGTGCAGATGGGCTAGACCTTTAAAATTATTGCAGACTATACAAAACCTTTTTTATCTTTAGATGGTGGGTTACTATAACTTTCATCTCAATTGCGGTTGGATGATAAATGGATCGAATCCGTCCATTTGATTGTTGGTCAAGCCAAAAAAAAAAAAAAAAAAAATTCAAATTGAGCATATTATGATTAATTTAAAAAGAACAAAATTGTAATTTAATATTTCTCCAAATAAAATATTTGAAAATTAAATTGGAAAAAAAATTGAGAACTCTTCATCTTAATCAACCTCCCCTCTCCTCCCCTCCCCACCAATTCCAAACAAAATAAAAAATCATCCATCTCAGCCACTACCACCATAGCCAAAAGCTCATTGTACAAAGACTCCAAAATTTTCACCGAGATTTCCTCCAATTGTTTGTTATTCCGTGCAGTAGCCCCCACCCGCTTTCAAATAACTACAGAAATTTTTTCCATATGGTTTTTGAGGTTTGATTACAGATTTTAGATGGGTTAATTTTTCCCCTTTATCATTCATGGTGGCGGTGGTTGTGGATTGATCGAATTCGAGTATTTCCTGCTGGTCCTGATATGCTTTTATCTAACAGTACAACCATTTAGAAATTTTTCTTAATTTAATTTACCAAACTGGCAGGAATAAGAACCCTAAAATTGGGGGAATACAAAATTACAATTTTTTTTCTTTTAAAATTAATCAAAGTGTGATCAAGCTGATTTTTTTGATTGACTAACGATCGAATAAACTGATTTATTCTGCAGCTGAAATCGAGATGAAAGTTTTTGGAAAAGAGAGGATGGCTGTCGAGGAGCCTTGTTGATGAGAAAAAAGTCCACGAATAACAAAATAATAATTAAAATATTTTAATAATCAATAATCGAAAAAATATTTGCAGTAAATAAATAATAAAAATGACATATAAATAAATGCTATTGAAGAAAAAATCTATCAATAACTAAATAAATAATTTTGTAGACCATAAATGTGAAAATTGCAACTGGATTGTAACACAGTACAATCATATGATCCAATTCGATCAACAATGGAACTATAGATTCAATGGTGAGTTGTATGAAATTAGGGCCATAAGTAGGACATCAAGATGTTATGATTTCATAAGGATCGAACTTTAGGCCAAAGAGTACAGAATCATATCTACGATTGTAGGCAAACCTGTTTGAGGGCTAAATTATCCTTTCCTGTTTTCAATTTTAAGTGGTTGTTCTGGTCCACTCACATTTATTTAGGAAAAAATGAATATTAGCAGCTCAACACCTTTTTGGTACATAAAATATGGAAAAGGATCTCTATTTCCACATTGCAGAGAATTGAACAGATATTTCTACCGGTTGTAGTTGAACTAGTTTTATATTTAGATTTGCCTATCATTTATTTTCAGTTTAGCGTTTACAAATTTGAGGTTGCCCCCACATCTTTAACGAGTGTTAAAGGTCCAATCTACATTATGCACCTTGAGAAGACATAACAGTAATACTACCTGCATAGCTCTTCCACCATCAAGACATCCGATAGGTAGCATATTAAAAGCTGTCGTCGTTAACCCACACCTAAAAGCAAAGAGCTTATCAGTAAGCATATTAATATTGAAAAGACATAACAAAGCTACTCCCACAATGATGCTTCACCAGCCAGCAATAACAAGGGGATGAATTGAAACTGTTGCGGCGTGCATTGCCCTGTGAATGTACATAACAAAGAATCAAATCACTTCCATTTAAGGATTGAAAAGAAATTAAATATGAGATGATTTCAATAAAAAATGAGTCGGTTTAAAAGCAAGACATGACAACCATATGTACTATGTACATATAGACAACAAACTTAAATAACAAATCTTTTCGTTCTAAAATGGAATGTGACTTCCAAATTGAAGGAACACAGGGGATGACTAGGATATCTACACTATATGACCAAAATGATATATAAAGTTATTAATCCCGAACAGCTTTGGGTTTTATGGAAACATGTTAGCACAGATAAATTACAAAGGCAAACTAGAGAACACTTACGTATAACCAAGAGCAGCCCGACTAATAAGTCCAAGAAGCAAAGAGCCTTGAAAAAGCAAACTAGGAACCTGAACTAAATCTCCTGCCACTGCTGGATTTGATGAAAGTAGCAGGCCAATGGTGAACATAGATAAAGACAATGAAGCGCCCGCAAATGGTCCGGACAAAGAAATATCTACTTTTGTTTTTCGATCAGGCAGAATGGACTTGAACTACAAAAGGAGGCAAAGGGGAAAAAATGTAGAGAACATTGTCAATGATTGATGAATAGTCAAAAACTTAAATGCTATATAAATTGCAGTGCAAAATGTTTTAGAAAACTTATTTAGGCAAAAAGGAAAAGAACATGAATGAATTAGTAGTGGTACTTGGATAGAAAAAAATATATTTAAGGATTTATAATGTTCTAGAAATCAGTACAGAGGGAAACCATGACAAGACCACTGGAATAAAATTAACATTAGTTATATGGTTCGAGAAGGTACGTGTCTTCATAATACAGGAACATAACTTTTCAGCTCTTCATATGGGGTTCAGCATAGAAATCGGATGAATATGTTTATCCTTACATCTGAACATGGACCAAAGAATGCACTCAGTCCCTCTTTGATGGAATTCATTTCAAAACTCAGTTTTCTATATACTCAATTTCAACCATATATTCACACAATAAAATATTATGCAAGTAAGCCCAAAACTTTTCCTTATTTTTTAACCACAAATTCTTAAAAAATTCACTATTCAAAACATTGCTTTTGCCAAATAATGACCATCACAGGGGCTCAAAATTCACGGGATACAATTGTACAGTAGCATCATTCACCTATAAGAATAGCAGAATGTTTCACTAGACAGAGTACCTAAGTGTAATACAAAGCCATTAGTAAAAAGCAGCTAAAAAGGCAATGTTTCTTGCAAAGAAGATAAACGGAAGAGGACTTTGAACTAGTAATGAAAATGCTGATTTCTAAACCACGGAAATAAAACCTATTTTAAGCTAAGGAGTGCAAACATTGTTTAATCCAATCTGTGTTGATGCTGTGTTATTGTTTGACAAACATACAGATGGTGTATGATGAGTTTTTTCTCTGGCAAGTACATAACCATCTTAAATTCAGTTGCAAGTTTGCAATATGTAAACAAAAATAACATAAGGTGCAAATTTGAGTCGTACAGCAACTAAACCAAAAAAAAAAATGAAGACCATCATACATCTCTAGATATCAATATATCTGTCGAATAACAGAGAAAGAATTCTGAGACTCTATACTCTAAAACAATCTTAGGGATATGAAATTCCACTCCAATATGCATCTGTATGTTGCAACCTGAGTTGTAGGCTATCATTCCAATTGAGCTGATCCAGAGTACTTGGCAGATAGATAATCAGATAAGACAAAATAAAATGATAACTAATTATGAAGATTTCAAGAATACCAGCTTATATGAGATCCATTACTTCTATAAGCCAGATAAAGACGGGATTATAATGGAAACAAATAACTATTTGGCGGGTCACAAAAAAAAAAAACAAAAAACAAAAAAAACTCTATGCGTAACTTTGCTTCACCTGAGTAATTGCTCCAAAGCTTCCAAGGGTAATGTTTGGAATAAAGAAAGGAATGCTTAATTTCACCTTCCTTGGAAATGCAGCCAGAAAATGTCCAACTTCCTGCAGTAAATTAACTCCATATAGAAATTATATCAAAAGGCAGAATATTAGAGAGCATAAAACATTCTCTCATTTACTCGAAGCAAGCAGTTAATAAATAGATATATGAGCATTCTTAAATTGAAAGTCTTTACGTGCAGAACAAGAGGTTATATCTGATTGCAAGTTTCATACAGCCAAAAAAGAAGCGAACTACAAAAACATCAAGCCTTGGACAATAATTTCTGTTATCTGACATGGTTTTGTCTTAAAAGATGTTCAATTAGCTGGAACAAAAGAAAATCCACTCACGTGAAATAGCTGAACCCCCAAGACACCATAGGCAAGGGGCAAAGCAGAGTCCACAAATGGTAATAGAAGCTGCATATCTGGTGGTTCAATGGCATTTGGATCTGTGAAGTATTTAACCACCTCTGGAGGAAGTCTATTTATCTGCTTAGTGAAAAATTATAAACTAATTCAGGTAGTTTACAATGGAAATATTCTTAATGACCGATAATTATATAAACCAAGTTCACACATGGCGGCATCAACAGATATATATATATCTTGGGGGTAATAAGAATACCTGAGATGCTATTCCTAGCTCCACAGAGGAACCAATGGTAAGAAGAAACAACAGAAGAGCAATCACATACTGCCAAAGAGTTGTTGGACCTGGTTCTGAGACCTCTTTCCGTAGCATACCAAAGCTGACACGAGGACCACCACGTGGATCTGGTCCTTCAGCATTAGGTTCCTCCACCATGAACAGGTTGTACTTATCTCCCATTATTTCAGCTAGGTGACTTTGAAGTTTGGCAAAAACATCTTCCCTCTTTGCCCTAAGATTGCCAAGGAAAAGAATGCCCTCTCCTAGATCCCCAAACTGCTCTTCTTTGGTTACCCAAAAGGTAGAATAGCCAAAAAGCTTTTCCTTAATAGCCTTTACATCAGCCGGATCAACCTTTTCAGGCCCTAGAAGTTCCATCAATTTAAAAGAGTCTACTTGGAAATTATTATGAGATGATCCAATAGAAGATATAGTAGGATTCTGAGAACACAAAAAAAAGAAAGAAAGAAAGATCAGAGACATCATTTTATCTTCCAATTTCTGGCGCAAGTCACTGCTTTTCAATATAACTATCATTCAGGTCAATTCAGTCCAATAAAACTGAGTTAAATGTTTCAATGGCCACCGAACTTTGCACCATGTCATGGCTTATTCACCGAACTTCCAAAAGCATCCCACCAGTCACTAAACTTTACTCCATCATTGTCCATTATTCACCGGGTGGATGCCGATTGAATTAATGCTGACGTGAAGGATGGAATTATGACATGTCCCATTAACTCCTTCCAAATAATTAGACTCCGGCCTACTCAACACCATGTCATCGCCACGTCAAAAAATTACCCTCTTCCCCTCACTCACCCCCTCCACCTTACAATCTCCACTCTATAGTGACGGAGCCACCATGTCAATTGCAGCGACGCCATTTCGTTTTTCACCACGCTTCTCTGCTCAAAAACCACCATATGGAGTCTCGGGTTCCAAATTACAATCCAATCTTCTAACAATTCAAGGATTTAGGCAGAATCTTTGGCATGTGCCCCCAAATTTATACACCAACTCTTTCAAACATCTTCCTTCAATTCAAGGAGAAAATCCTATGCCTCGAAATCATGGGCATGGACTCTGGTCAAGCAGTCTCCCAAAACCCGTCTTGGCACACCACTTTTTTGCATTCCATTATCGAAATTATCACCTTCCTCCCATCCAAACGCATCCATCAAAAGGATTTAGGCAGAATCTTTAGCATGTGCCCCCAAATTCTAAAATCCAACATTACAATTGACCTTAACCAAGTTTTCAATTTCCTATCCTATGATTTAAAAGCCCGTAAAGAAAATTCTAGAAAGGTGATAAACAAACGTCCCAGAATGTTAATTTCCAGTGCAAGAGACCAGCATAAACCTACTTTATTCTACCCGGTTTTAAGGTGTCCCAGATTGTTCACTCTCAGCATGAGAACAATTTCAAGCCTAAATTTGAGTGTTTTGACAAGGAAATAACGGCGACTTGGATAAACTGAAGGAATTTCCACAGTATTGTGCATTTAGTTTGGAAAGGAGGATGAAGCCCTGGCCCATGGAGATTGTACAGTGTGGAATTGTGGTTAGTTTGCCATTGACGTTGAAGAGCACTGAAGAGGAGTTCAGAGAATTGATAAGGCAAGGGGGTGCATAAGGGCGCTGAGGCATACCCCGATCCATCTCTAGTATGATTGACTAATTTATGACGTGGTGTTGAGTAGGCGGAGGTCTTACCATTTGGAAGAAGTTAGCTAAACAAGTCATTGACCTCCACATCAACATTAATTCAAACGACATCCACCCGATGAGTAATGAATGATGATGGAGTAAAGTTCAATGGTTAATAACACACTTTTGAAATTCGTCGTGACATGGTGCAAAGTTCAATGGCCATTGAAACATTTAACTCAATAAAACTCAGTGACTGTTAGCCTTAGAAGTTCCATCAATTTAGAAGAGTCTACATGGAAATTGTAAGATGATCCGATAGAAAATATAATCAGTGTATGAGAAAACAAAGATATTAATTGATCAAAGCCATCATTTTATCTTCAAATTTCAGGCGAAGTAAATGTAAGTAATCGTTTTCAAATTTAAATATCATTCATGTCAATTCTTCCAATAAATCCAGTGATTAGCTCTAGAAGTTCCATCAATTTAAAAGAGTCTACTTGGAAATTATCATAGAATCTCCAATACAACCATGGATTGCTAAAAGAAATTGTCACGTAAGAACAAACTGACGTGGCAAAGGGGAAAAAAATTATCAAGAGCTTCATCTAAACTTAGCAATTTTGTTAGACATGCAGAATTTTCATTTCCTACATACACTTAGATGTGATTTTATTATTGTTTTAAGAAAATAAAAGATAGTATTATTGGGTTGTAGGTGGATCCATTGGAGACTAATTTTCTACTTAAGTATCTAGATATCAATATCATGTAGACCGAAAGTCTTTCAACTTGTATGTCACCTAGATAGCAATCCATATAATGTATTGAAGATGCTCTTATGAGATGATCAAATAGAAGATATGATATATTCATCGAGCAAAGCCATCATTTTATCTTCAAAATTCTGACAAAGTAAATGCAAGTGATCATTTTTCATTTTACTATCATTCACGTCAAATTCACCCAGTAACACCAGTGACTATGGCAACAATAACAAATAAAGGGGAAACTCGTCTACAATCCAGAGCGTCTCACATATAAATCCTCTTTTCAATTTCTAGTTTTCAGAGCTAACAACTCCTGGATCAAGACTCAACTAATGAAGCACCACGAACACTTCCCACTCAAATACCTCCCTCCCATCATCACCCTTTTTTATTTTCGCTTCTCAGTTTCCAACTCTTTCAGAAAACCAACAAAGCATACAAGGACAATCGCATGTTTGTACATTACTCCAAACAGTTTGAACCTTATAGCAATTAAAAATATCACATTTCTAATCATTCCCAAACCAGCATAATCAAAAGGGAAATAAGAAATTAAAAACAATTCAGGAATGGGAAAAAAAAGGGAAAATCTCACCCGGTTCGATATAGAAGTTGGCAAATTCTCAGAATTATCATCGGGCTTCTCATCAGTTGAGCTCATCGTCGCCAAATTTGAATTGTCTCTATTTTCTCCTTCACCATTGGTAGCATTATTTTCATTTCTGGTATTATTCTTATCGTTATAACATGACCTTACAATTAAATTTAACCTGGTGCAATTCCCTTTCGAAATCATTCGCCGCCTCTTCGATAGTGATGCTCCACACAAACAAAAATTGGCGTTAATATTTTTTATTTTCACTCTGAAATTAAACCTGTTCGGAGGGTTCAATCTAAAGCTACAGCTGGTGAGTGTTGCCATTTAATTCAAATTATTTGGCTTCTTATGTGTGTATGTATAGCGTAAGTATCTCCGCCAGGTTTTCTTTCAGATTTTGAAGGTTTAGGTTTTCAATGTCAAGTTTAGGGAAGAGAGTGGGAAGAATGATTTTTAGAGGTTCTGTGGGCACACGAACATATCGTCTTCTAGCATTTCAAAAATATCTCTAATATTCCATTTATTTTTTTTTAATTACATAGATTTTTTTTTTTTTTTGAAAAACGTGAATTAAAAAAAATTATCAGAACTTGTTTGATTTAAGAGAGAGAGAGAGAGAGAGAGAGTATAGTTAAAATATTTTGAAAAGTAAAGAATTCAAGCGCAAAATTATTTTATCGTAATAATGTGTAATTGTAAATGAATTTAAAGAAAAATAAATTTTAAAATAACTATATCAAAATAGGGCTCAATGTAGCATTTCACATTTTTTTTACCATCTAGCTTCCATTCTATATAAAGGTTTAGTAGGGCGAGCACGTGACTCAGTGTAGGGGCGAAGCTTATAAACGAAAATAGCTTCACCTGATCAATACAGAGTGTTGGAGAGACATAGCTCATGTTTCCTATACTCCATACCTGTTTCAAAGGAACAGTTTTCGTCTCGTTTACCCGATTAGGCAAGTGATTCCCCTCCCATCCGCATGTATCAAATTTAAAGAGTTTTTTTTTCCTTCTCTCTTCTTTTCTGTTCTTTTTTTTTTTTCTTCTTCTTTTGCCATCCCTACCCTCAAGTCTCTTCTTGCCACACTTGGCTGCCCACCTCATAAAACCACCTCATAAAATAACATTGATTTAAGATTATTAATACAACTAAGTTGATTAATCTAGCCACCGTTTGGCCCTCATTTTTTCCAAATTTTAATGTTTGGAATAGTGTTTTTTGAAAAATGTTTTGTTGAAAACAAATGAAATTTTTTTCGATTTACGTGTAATATTATTTTATGAAAGATTGTGTGGTTGAAAATAAAATAGAAAAAAATGAAAGATAATAAGAGCCACACGAGGGCCTAATTGTTTTTTCTATCTACTCTCTTCCATTGATAACTCAAAACTTAAGAGTAGTAGATCAATAATTTAATTTTTCATCATAATCAATTCAAAATTTAAAATATATAATGTATACTCCCTCGCAAAATTCTTCTGATAAATTCGAAGTATATATATATAAAACTAAATTACAAGAAAAAAACTTAGAATTTCCAATTTGCTTCAGCATCCTTATTCTATTTACTCACAACAAAATCATCCTATATAAAAAAACAAATGAAGTCAAATCAACACCTCGATCAAAAATTATGTATAACGAAAAAAACCCAGAAAACAACACACAATAATCGGGTCATGAGAAGTACGAGTAAAGGCATGGGGATCTAAGATGTCACGAGTGGAATTGGAGGTGGAATTGTTTGTAAACTCCACAACTCATTTGCAGTCTGGTCTTGAGAAATACTGGTGAAATTAGATAGGGTTTGAAATTGCTTGGATGTGTTTTGCAAATTGTAATTGATTTGTGAATTATTACAAATAAATAATACAAACCAAAAGTAGCCTAAAGGCAGCAGATTGGGCCTAATTTTAAAAATAAAAAAAAATGGCCCAAAAGAATAGCCCACAATTTAAATGAAAAAAAAACCCTACTGTCATCCTGTGTGACTGCATTTCAAGATTCTTCCTCTCGACGACTATAAATTTCAATTGCACTTCAAGTTTCTTTATATGTCAGTAGATGCTTTCTATTTTGCTTCTTCCCTTCACAGTCCAGTGCACGCACACTGGAGTTTCTTATTTCAAACTCAAAATCCAATGCGGACAGGTGCTCGAACTGGCATCTATGTTGCTCCACCCCTAACTCGGTGCAAGTTATTTGAAAGGATACTTTACATTCTTGAACATGTATCGACACGATCTGAGCGGAGGAATGTGTAATCTATTAACACATCAAAATTGACACAAATTGAAATAAAAAAATTTAGAAAGCCTTATGAATAATTGGAAAGAAAAATAGGTAAAATAATTCATTGGGAGAAGTGCAGATGGGCTAGACCTTTAAAATTATTGCAGACTATACAAAACCTTTTTTATCTTTAGATGATGGGTTACTATAACTTTCATCTCAATTGCGGTTGGATGATAAATGGATCGAATCCGTCCATTTGATTGTTGGTCAAGCCAAAAAAAAAAAAAAAAAAAATTCAAATTGAACATATTAAGATTAATTTAAAAAGAACAAAATTGTAATTTAATATTTCTCCAAATAAAATATTTGAAAATTAAATTGGAAAAAAAATTGAGAACTCTTCATCTTAATCAACCTCCCCTCTCCTCCCCTCCCCACCAATTCCAAACAAAATAAAAAATCATCCATCTCAGCCACTACCACCATAGCCAAAAGCTCATTGTACAAAGACTCCAAAATTTTCACCGAGATTTCCTCCAATTGTTTGTTATTCCGTGCAGTAGCCCCCACCCGCTTTCAAATAACTAAAGAAATTTTTTCCATATGGTTTTTGAGGTTTGATTACAGATTTTAGATGGGTTAATTTTTCCCCGTTATCATTCATGGTGGCGGTGGTTGTGGATTGATCGAATTCGAGTATTTCCTGCTGGTCCTGATATGCTTTTATCTAACAGTACAACCATTTAGAAATATTTCTTAATTTAATTTACCAAACTGGCATGAATAAGAACCCTAAAATTGGGGGAATACAAAATTACAATTTTTTTTCTTTTAAAATTAATCAAAGTGTGATCAAGCTGATTTTTTTGATTGACTAACGATCGAATAAACTGATTTATTCTCCAGCTGAAATCGAGATGAAAGTTTTTGGAAAAGAGAGGATGGCTGTCGAGTAGCCTTGTTAATGAGAAAAAAGTCCATGAATAACAAAATAATAATTAAAATATTTTAATAATCAATAATCGAAAAAATATTTGCAGTAAATAAATAATAAAAATGACATATAAATAAATGTTATTGAAGAAAAAATCTATCAATAACTAAATAAATAATTTAAAATTATCGACAAAGTTTAACTACAAGTTAGTTTGAGAACATTATCTCAATAAATTTACCAAAATAATTTTCGTCAACAAGTAAAGTGATAAAAAGCTTCTTTTTTTTAAACAACTATGCATTTTTTGAAAAAAAAAAAAATCGTCTGCAATAAAATAATAATTTAAGCTTATCAATGGTTTTTGGTTAATATTTAGAAAAAATAAATATATTAATAAAAAAATAAGATGATAAATATAACAAAAATAAGAATTAAAATATTTAGTAATTTATTTATTGAATGAAATTATGCTGGTAAAACAAAAAATAAATAAATGGTATTGATGAAAAAGTATGTTGGTAACTAAACATTAACTAAAATAAATAATTTAAGATTACCAAGGAAGTTTAACAAGAGTAGTAATTTGAAAACTTGTCTCAATAAATTTAATATTAACAAAATAATTTTAACAGATAAGTAAAGTGATGAAAATAATTTAAAAACAAAAAAATAAACATTATCGATGGGGAATTCAGTTGGTAATAAAATAACAATTTAAAATTACTAATAGTATTTTGATTGATAATATTATTATTTTCTTTTATAAACGTTACAACGATAAAGAAAATTATACAAATGGAAATATAAATATTGACAAGTATGTTAATCATCTGGATCAAACCAAATTCATATCGAATTCAAAGTCAAATAGAGGTAGAACAACACAAATAGGAATAAGAATTGAAGTCCTTGGTCAGGAATTCAATTCTCTCTACCAACACTTTCTCAGTCGATCATGTCGCACAGAGCTTGCCTAGTATAGTTTACATAGCTGGCATGGTTTGCAGGCTATTGCATTAATTCAAAAATTTACCTAATGCGCACCCAAAAGGTATCGGCTGCGGATTCTTCGGTCATTAAAAAAAAAAGGAACTGAAGCCCCTATCTCTACCACTTTTTTCAATTGCACATTTTCATAGGAAAAAATGGGGGATAGGATCAATCCACCTATTATGCAAATCCAAATCCATATTCCACACATAAACACACACAACACACAAGGAAGAGAAACGAGAGCAGTGAGAAAAGATGAAAGAAAGAATAAAAGGAAAAAAAAAATCGCTAAATTGTTAGAAAATAAGTGATTTATACTATTAAATTTTCGAAAGGTAAATAAAAAGTTACTCATTTAAACGTTATGTTAAAATAGACATCCCATTTGCAAGAATCAATGATTTTTTAACATATGAAATATAAAAGTGTTATATAACACAGTCATTTTTCACTCTCATTATAACATAATAGAATGTAAATGTGCAATCAAGAACCAAAAAAATACAGGAGGAAGCGAAGAAGATTGTAGTCGTGATAAGCCGAATTCTCTAAGCATTACGTAAGTGAAATTCTATAATTTATTAAAGGGAACTCTGTTAAAAGATAAAGTAATAAAAACCAAAAAAATAAATATTTTTGGTCAATAACAAAACAATAATTAAAAAAGTTGTTTAACATTATCCATGGAGTTTAAACAGTTGTAATTTAAATATATAATCAAATAGTTTTATCTGCAAAAAACTTTTCACCGTTAAGGTGATTAAATATCTTCTTCTTCTTTTTTCTCCAGCCACAAAAGAATTTCAAATCAATGTATAGAGACGAGCTCATGACCAAGCCAATTAGCAATTTCATAAATTCCACTTAGATGATTGGCATATTAAGATTATCAAAGTTTAACAAGAGAAATAATTTTAAAATTTTATCTCAATAAATTTAATATTCCAAAAGAATTTTCATCCACAAGTAAAGCGATAAAAAAACTAAATATCATCGATGGGGAATTTAATTGGTGATAAAATAATAAATCGACTGAATAAAATAACAATTTAAATAACATCAATAATAATTTCGGTTGATGATATTAACAAATAAATTATTTCAGAAATTTATTACTTTCTTATAGAAATTAATTATGTCACTCGTCTGGATTAAAATCAAATTCAAAATCAAAATCAAATAGGAATGAGAATTGAAGGTCTCCTTGATTAATCTCAAAACATGTTTGTGACCATTTTTTCAGCTACATTTTCCTCTTTTAAGATATTGTATTCACAGAAGTCAATGATTTATTAAAACATGAAATATA